ATTGACAAATGTAGGTTCTCACTTGTACATGTATAAACATGCATAAAGAAATGCAAGAATACATGTCATGCAGGAGTACCATCAATATATTTCTATGTAGCTTCAAATGAATGTACATGTATGTAATTTCCACACACCATTTTAATGATGCCATTATGTTTTTTATGAATCATTTGCCTATGACCGGATGTTGTATTTTTAGTAACCCATTATGTATAGTTTGTTTGTTTGTGCCATAATAACAAAATAAGTTTCTTTTTCTTCTGATAATTTTTATGCTCATCATCATAAATGGTTTGTTTTCAGCTTTACAACAACATATTTCACTGATGGTATTATTATTATTATTTTTTATGCTAAGAGAACATAATTACAAATGTACTAAGTTGTGTGCATTTTACCTACATATCTTGTTTTTATACATTTTCATAATGTGTTACCTTCAAAATGTTCACAACACTACATAAAGTGTAATCATGAAGACACGACCTTGGTTCATGATGTTATCAATAGGAGACCACTTCTCTATAAATTGTCATTGTGTCAGTGAAGTGAATGTTTAACATTTTATTTTCACAATATTCCATGTAAGTGGTCTTATTCTACTTTCTAGACCAGTTCATTTTCACATGGGTAAGCTAAGTTTATTACATATTTGTCAGTAGGCATAATGGCAGTGAAACCCATCAACATCCTGCTATGACCAACATATTGATTTTTTTCAAAATCAAAATCCATCTTTGTTGTGGAGAAACATATCATAACTGTACTTTCAAACTCTGGAATTTTGAAAGTTAGTAGATTTTGAGAAGATAAGTGTGGCGAGATAAGTGTCTAGCTGAAATATAAAGAGGATAGTTTCAAAATGAAAACCTTACTTTGTTGGTGCCAGACCCATAGGAACAGACGATGGCCCAATCCCCATAACAAAAGCTCACTTTAATGTTGTCAAGGTGAGCTTAAAATGCAATGAAATCATACTTTATTCGATGTTCTACTGAAATGAAAGTGATACTTAAACTTTGTACTGCCAGTATTAGCATAATTTTTTCACAAATGAAGAAGCCATATTCAAAGAATATATTTCTATCACTTATCTGTCTCTTCACTGTAGGATACAAGATGTTCTCAGATGTGGATGTTGTTGCTCCTGAATTACATATTGAAGATGTCATGACGTTTAATACAGCACTTAACCAGCTGTAATATTGGAACATGATTCAATTCAACACATGTCCAACCACTACAACATGGAGAACTTCTGCATTACTATCGGGAAGCTTCTGAATGTGGACAAATCTGTTCCATCAACATGAGGAAACCTGAAATGACAAAAATAAAGTATGTGATGCAGGACCAAATTAGCTAAAATCCCATAAATTGATGATTCCAATGGATTTTCTTTTCTTTTTTAATACATACTCCTCACTTCAATACACATAATCAGACAAAACTGCAACATTTCAGATTGAATTTTTAAATTTTGCCTAAATTTTAAAGATTTCTTCCAAATTACTGAAACTGGACCAAATTGGCGAAAGGCCTATAAACTGATGATATCAAAGGATATAATTTTTTCTTCTTTTATGTTTATACCTTGCCTAAATACACATAACCAGACTAAATGGCAACATCCCAGATTGCATTTTCAAACTTTGACTGAATTTTAGAGATTTTTTCACAGTACTGAAATTGGACCAAATTGGCTAAAGTCCCATAAACAGATGATTTCCAAGAATATAATTTTCTCTTCTTTTATATGTATACCTTGCCTAAACACACATAACCTGACTTAATGGCAACATCCCAGAATGAATTTTTAAATTTGGACTAAATTTTGAAGGCTTTTTCACAGTACTGAAATTGGACCAAATTGGCTAAAGTCCCATAAACTGATGATTTCCAAGAATATAATTTTCTCTTCTTTTATATGTATACCTTGCCTAAATACACATAACCAGACTTAAAGGCAACATCCCAGATTGCATTTTCAAATTTTGACTGAATTTTACAGGTTTTTTCACAGTACTGAAATTGGACCAAATTGGCTAAAGTCCCATAAACAGATGATTTCCAAGAATATATATTTCTCTTCTTTTATATGTATACCTTGCCTAAATACACATAACCAGACTTAATGGCAACATCCCAGAATGAATTTTTAAATTTGGACTAAATTTTGAAGATTTTTTCACAGTACTGAAATTGGACCAAATTGGCTAAAGTCCCATAAACTGATGATTTCCAAGAATATAATTTTCTCTTCTTTTATATGTATACCTTGCCTAAATACACATAACCAGACTAAATGGCAACATCCCAGAATGAATTTTTAAATTTGGACTAAATTTTGAAGATTTTTTCACAGTACTGAAATTGGACCAAATTGGCTAAAGTCCCATAAACAGATGATTTCCAAGAATATATTTTTCTCTTCTTTTATATGTATACCTTGCCTAAATACACATAACCTGACTTAATGGCAACATCCCAGAATGAATTTTTAAATTTGGACTAAATTTTGAAGGCTTTTTCACAGTATTGAAATTGGACCAAATTGGCTAAAGTCCCATAAACTGATGATTTCCAAGAATATATTTTTCTCTTCTTTTATATGTATATCTTGCCTAAATACACATAACCAGACTTAATGGCAACATCCCAAATTGCATTTTCAAATTTGGACTAAATTTTGAAGGCTTTTTCACAGTACTGAAATTGGACCAAATTGGCTAAAGTCCCATAAACTGATGATTTCCAAGAATATAATTTTCTCTTCTTTTATATGTATACCTTGCCTAAATACACATAACCAGACTAAATGGCAACATCCCAAATTGCATTTTCAAATTTGGACTAAATTTTGAAGACTTTTTCACAGTACTGAAATTGGACCAAATTGGCTAAAGTCCCATAAACTGATGATTTCCAAGAATATAATTTTCTCTTCTTTTATATGTATACCTTGCCTAAATACACATAACCAGACTAAATGGCAACATCCCAGATTGCATTTTCAAATTTTGACTGAATTTTACAGGTTTTTTCACAGTACTGAAATTGGACCAAATTGGCTAAAGTCCCATAAACTGATGATTTCCAAGAATATAATTTTCTCTTCTTTTATGTGTATACCTTGCCTAAATACACATAACCAGACTTAATGGCAACATCCCAGATTGCATTTTCAAATTTTGACTGAATTTTACAGATTTTTTCACAGTACTGAAATTGGACCAAATTGGCTAAAGTCCCATAAACAGATGATTTCCAAGAATATATATTTCTCTTCTTTTATATGTATACCTTGCCTAAATACACATAACCAGACTAAATGGCAACATCCCAGAATGAATTTTTAAATTTGGACTAAATTTTGAAGATTTTTTCACAGTACTGAAATTGGACCAAATTGGCTAAAGTCCCATAAACTGATGATTTCCAAAAATATATTTTTCTCTTCTTTTATGTGTATACCTTGCCTAAATACACATAACCTGACTTAATGGCAACATCCCAGAATGAATTTTTAAATTTAGATTAAATTTTGAAGACTTTTTCACAGTACTGAAATTGGACCAAATTGGCTAAAGTCCCATAAACTGATGATTTCCAAGAATATATTTTTCTCTTCTTTTATATGTATATCTTGCCTAAATACACATAACCAGACTTAATGGCAACATCCCAAATTGCATTTTCAAATTTGGACTAAATTTTGAAGGCTTTTTCACAGTACTGAAATTGGACCAAATTGGCTAAAGTCCCATAAACTGATGATTTCCAAGAATATAATTTTCTCTTCTTTTATATGTATACCTTGCCTAAATACACATAACCAGACTAAATGGCAACATCCCAGATTGCATTTTCAAATTTTGACTGAATTTTACAGGTTTTTTCACAGTACTGAAATTGGACCAAATTGGCTAAAGTCCCATAAACTGATGATTTCAAAGGATATATTTTCTTCTTTTATGTTTATACCTTGCCTAAATACACATAACCAGACTAAACGGCAACATCCCAGATTGCATTTTCAAATTTTGACTGAATTTTAGAGATTTTTTCACAGTACTGAAATTGGACCAAAGTTGCTAAAGTCCCATAAACTGATGATTTCAAAGGATATAATTTTCTCTTCTTTTATGTTTATACCTTGCCTAAATACACATAACCAGCCTAAACGACAACATCCCAGAATTAATTTTCTGCATTACTGTGGGGAAACTTCTGAATGCGGACGAATCTGTTCTATTCACATGGAGAAACCTGAAATGAAAAAAATAAAGTATGTGATGCTAAAGTCCCATAAATTGATGAGTCCAATGGATATTTTGTCTTTTTTAATACATACTCCTCGCTTAAATACACATCATCAGACAGAACTGCAACATTTGAACTTGAATTTTTAAATTTTGACTGAATTTTAAAGATATTTTCCAAATTACTGAAACTGGACCAAATTGGCTAAAGTCCCATAAACTGAATATTTCAAGGGATATTATTTTTCCTTTTTTCCTATTCATTCGTTGCCTTAAAACACATCATGAGACAAAACAGCAACATCCGAGATTGAATTTTTAAATTTTGACTGAATTTTAAAAAGTGGACCAAATTGGCTCAAGTCCAATAATAAGATGATTTATAAAGGATATTATTTTTCTTTTTGCTACTTGCCTTAAAATACACAATCAGGCTAAACTGCTCCATCCTAAAATGAAATTTCAGATTTTGACTACATTTTACAGGTTTTTCTAAAGTACTTGCTATTATATTGTTAAATATTGAATGATAGAAACGTTTTTTAAACTGAATGACGATATATTTGTGTATTGTCACATCATTTATTTCATCAAGAAAAAAATTGAATCAATAAACGTAAGATCATTTTCAGCAGGTTGTGCTCAGTGATGATGAGTGGGGCTTGCAAAAAAAAGCTGCTTTTTGAAAAAATAATTGTAACAGCGGTACTCGTCTCAAAGATAAGGGAGTACTTGTTGGGTCAGAAGGGATTTATTTTCAATGGGCGTAGAGTGAGAACTTCACGATAGTCCGGATCTGCCCTAAAACATACATAATTTGATATAAATATCATGGGTATGGACAGTATAAAGGCACAAGATAACAACAATAATAATAATACATTTAGATCTATAGTTACTTACTTTTGGCATATATATTTGAACAAATCCTTCCAGATAAAACAAAGTACAGTCTATACATAGTTAATCATGCATACCTTGTCTCAGGGACGCAGGCTGGAACCTCCTTTATTGATGTACAGTGAATAGCCCTGCACAAATGAGTATACTACATATAGATATATTACATATCCACCGTTACACTAGTGTGTATGAAATACAAGCAAAATAAATTCTACAAAAGACTATACATATATATACATGATACATATACATGTATCACTTCTAACCAGTTTATATCTATTTTATAAAATGTACACTTGGCTATTACCTCAGTCAAATACACAGTTAGGGTAAAAGGTAAAATAAATTCCTACGTGCACAAAATAAGTCAACAGCACAATATGTCTACTGAACAGTAAACAGTCACATGTCTAATGTCACACAAAAACATTGTTATTAACTCTGAACAGACAAGCTATGTTAGATCTACGTAGCTGAGGAAAATGACAATAGGACATTTCTTGGAAAATCTCTGATGTTTAGAATTTTCAATAGGACATTCCCATAGACTGCTGTATAATTTCTACAAAATCATTGGGACATTTGTGACAATGGGTAGGCAAATATCCTAAATATTGGACGATCTTTATCACTGGTAACGTTACTTGAAGGCTTGTTGCAAGCGAGATTTCGTACAGTTCAAACCTCGTGACACTGAAAGGGCCTTGATCTAATCAGTGTGTGAGGACGCCTGGCGTGCTAAATAAGAAACAGACCTTTACTATCTGGTCATAATTTTACAACATTTACAGGCTTCGTAGGACAGGTTAAAATCAAACAATGCGCTATTGAAAAAGCATAAACAAATATAGATCTACCTTATGCCAGACGGCTCCTTCGCATTATCAAGGGAGGTAACTCTTAATACGTTTTGCTGCCCACTATCAATGTTCTCTTTGCGACACATGAATGGTTTCATAGCTGGGTAATACTTTATGTTATGTCTTCTCAATATACCACAGTATATATAGTTTGAAGATAGTAGGTTTATTGTGCTGAGTGTTGAGTATACATCCTCCACATGGTCAATGATCTAAGGGGAGCTCACTCTCACCTCTCTTCAGTCATGCATAACAGAGTTAGTAATGTTTAGGCGGTAGAGCACCTAATCATAGTCATATATAATATAGATAACCCTACATCCCCCTTTCTAGGAAAGATAATTGCAAAACTTTAAGCAACTGAAATAAAGTAAACATTAATGCATTCTACATGTTCTAGTTACAGACAGATATATGCCTAACACATTTAAATGCATTTAAACACAAATATGCAATAACGATTGCAAATAAATGATCATACTTTCTTAAGTGAAATTAACATTTGACACTTCGAAGCATATGTATTATGCATAACACTATATTGGAAATAAAGCCTTAACACTTAGTCAATGTTACTAGATCATTCTTGTTAAACAGTACTCTTTTTAAGTGTTTTCTAAAATAGAACATTATAACGATCATTGCTATAACTTCAAAATTACTGATACAACATCGCTGTTGAATGCTATTCAAATACAATGAAAAATGCATTTCAAAGATCAAGTCTTTGTTCCAGGAATTAACTTGAGATCACATCTATTGCGCCTCACCTCCCCCTTTGGGGTTGACACAATATATGACCGCGGGGTGTCGGCTTTACCGACCACTTTCGACTCGGACTGATTTACCCAAACACAATCACCAGGTTTGAGCTCAGACATTGGTCGCACATTATGATGATGATCATACTGATCTTTCATTATTAGTTTTTTCACAGATTCAGTTTGCTTGAATCTTTTCACATCCACATGTTTGGATTGTAGTTGTGTAGGATGACATGGCAAGCTTGTTCTCAGCTTTCTTCCCATTAAAAGCTCACTTGGAGATAATCCACCAGATACAGGTGTTGACCTGTATTCCAACATTGCAAGATATGGATCATCAGCTTTACGCAACATATTCTTGCATGACTGAACAGCTCGCTCAGCCTCTCCATTGCTTCTTGGATACAACGGGCTGGATGTGATGTGAGTAAAGTTGTACTGATGAGCAAACTCACAGAAGTCCTGTGAAGAATATTGAGGTCCATTATCTGAGATAACTACCTCTGGTATCCCATGTCTAGAGAATACAGATTTCAAACTGTTGATGATACTCTTTGATGTTGTAGAAGACAGCTTGATGACTTCTATGTACCTTGAGAAGTAGTCAATGACCAGTATGTACATTGCTTTGTTGAGTTCAAACAGGTCTGTACCTACTCTCTGCCAAGGTCGATCAGGAATTGGTGTTGGTAGGAGAGGTTCAGTTGGATTTCTCCTGTACTTTGAACAGATTTTGCAGTGTTCAACAACAGATCTGATTTCTGCACTCAGTCCTGGCCACCATACAGCTGTCATTGCCCTCTCTCGACACTTACGGATTCCTTGATGTCCTGCATGAATCTTCTCGAGCATTTGAGATCGAAGAGTCAGAGGTATCACCAGTCTATTGCCTTTTAACAACAGATCATTCACCATAGACAAATCATGTCTCACTTTGTATAGCTGCTTCTCCTCTGTTGACAGAGAATGTTGGGCAGGCCACTTGTTCTGTAGGAATGTGGATATTCTGCCATACACTTTCTCTTGTTCTGAGGCTATTTCTGTTAACTTCGCATCAGAAGCTGGTAGTTGTGACACTACTAGATCAACAAAGAGATCAGTCTCTTGTTCAAAGAGTTTGTCTTCAGCTAGGAGGATTTCATCCACCGGTGATCTTGACAGTGTATCTGCAATTGCCAGATTTTTGCCAGGTGTGTGGAACACAGAATAACTATATCGCATTAACCTCATTCTGAATCGTTGCAATCTTGGAGACAGATCACTGAGACATTTGGATCCAAGTATGGAAACAAGAGGTTTATGGTCAGTCTCTATTTGGAAGTGTTTTCCAAGCACATAATCGTTGAACCGTTCTGTTGCCCAGGTAATCGCCAGAGCTTCTTTTTCGATCTGTGCGTATCTTTGCTCTGTATCACTTAGAGACCTGGATGCCAAGATTACTGGTTTCCATGATCCATCAGATTGTTTCTGTTTCAGCTCAGCTCCAATACCATATGATCATGCATCTGCTGATACAATCTTTTCTCTTGCTGAGTCATACAACGCCAGAGTTGGTGCGTCACCTATTTGACGTTTGACTTCATCAAATGAGGCTTGTTGTACATCACTCCATAGGAATGTACTGTCTTTATGTAGCAACTCTCTCAGGGGTTTGGTACCTTCAGCAAGTTTGTCAGAGAACTTTGACATCTGGTTCACCATACCGAGAAATCTTCTCAGCTCAGTTTTGTCTGTAGGAGGTTTCATGTTGACAAGAGCTTTGACTTTATCCGGGTCAGGTTGAACACCATTCTCACTGATGACATGTCCAACAAACTTCAGTTTAGTCTTGTTGAACTCGCACTTGTCCCTGTTGAGTGTGACACAATTATCTGCTAGACGTTTCAGTACTCTCATGAGACGCTTATCATGCTCCTCTTGAGTCGAGCCATAGATGAGTATGTCGTCCACCAGGCAGATTACACCAGGAAGATCTTTCAGGATTTGAGACATTGTTCGTTGAAATATCTCGGGTGCACTTGAGATTCCAAATGGCATCCTTTTGAACCGATATCGGCCAAATGGAGTTATGAAAGTTGTTAACTTGGATGCTTTGTCTGACAACTTCAGCTGGTAAAAGCCTGAATTAGCATCTAAGCGAGTAAAGTACTTAGCACCTTTAATCTGACCGAGAATATGATCAACTGCAGGCATAGTGTAAATTTCTCTCTTCACACTCCTGTCTTCCCCTTCGGAACGACGACAATACCTGAACACCAGTCAGTTGGATGCGTAACTGGTTCAATGACTTGCAGATCCTGCATTTTCTCAAGCTCTTTCTTGACCTTTTCAAGGAGTGGTATGGGTACACGTCTTGGTGTGTTTAGAGAACAGGGAACAGCATTATCAGTTAGTTCTATGTCATGTTCACCCGGAATTTCACCCAGACCTTTGAACAATGATGGAAAGTCTCTCTCCACATCATCGATTGTGATTGAGTCAACAAACTTGATCAATTCAAGGGCTGTTAAGGCTGGTCTCCCCAGTAGACTTCTGTCAAGGTTTCTCACAACATAGATGTCTTGTGATGTTACCTTGCTGCCTTTGGTTAGCTTCGGGGTAAACACCCCTATGACATCGAGTTTTATTTTAGCTGGGCCAAGTAATTTCTTCTTGGTCTTTTCAAGTTTGACATTGCCAAGTTTCTTGAAACAGGTATCAGATATGGCAGTGACATACGCACCACAATCTATCTTGAACTTCATCAAGGTGTCATTCACTTGAATGTTTGTCACCCATGGGCCTTCATCAATATTTCTTGATGTATCACTCAGCTGTCCAATGAAAAATTCGTCTTCATCAGAGTCAAAGTCTAGCACACATTCATCTACTTTTCTGCCACTAAGACAAACAGAACTATAATGTCCCTTTTTGTTACATTTGTGACAAATAGACTCGCGTGCAGGACAATCTTGCCATTTGTGTCCAGGTTTCGCTCCGCATCGTTGACAATATGGTCTTCTTGACTTTGCTGAACTGTGTTTTCCATTCTTGGAAGCATGACTGGCCTTTGAAGAATTATTCTTTGATGATTGTCTGTGTGGTTTTGTCGGTCTTCTAGACTTGACTGCATCCATTGCTGCCGCACTTGTGTCAGTCTTACGAAGCTGAGATTGTTGTATCTTAATCATTTCTCGTTGTCTTGCCATCTGTCCAGCTTTGACTAGTGTCAGTTCATTATCTGCTTGCATTTTGGTACTTAATGCACTGTCTCTAATTCCTACGACAATTTTGTCCCTTATTAGATCATCGTGTAGTGTACCGTAGTCACAATGACGAGCTAAAACGTACAATGCATTGATGAACGAGTCCACAGTCTCACCATCTTCTTGTATACGTCTGTTAAATACATCTCTCTCATATATCACATTATGAAAATTACAAAGTGTCTCTGAAACTTATCAATCACTGTTTGATATGACTTCATTTCTTCATCTGTCAAATTCAGAGATGACAGGATATCCTCTGCTTCATCTCCCATATGGTAAATGAGTGAATTGATTTGAACTTCATCTGCTTCTTTAGTCAAAAGAGATGACTGTCTGAATCGTTCAAAACGACGTGACCATTTTGGCCAAGATTCTGGTTTTGTGAAGTCAAACTGTTCAGGTGGGTTCACCCTGTATGCTGACTGTGGTAATAACTGAGGTAACTGTGGTTGCTCTTCGTTATTTGCCATTTTATCACACCAGATGAAAATTTCCAACACTTCACAAAAAGCACATGGACTTCAATTAGACCTTCAGTTTTCGCTCACTAACAAGTTCATCAAGTAAAAATCTTCTTTTTGACTATTGTAGTTGCTAACCTGGTTAATGATATCCTCATCCCACTTCTGACACCATGTTATGTCTTCTCAATATACCACAGTATATATAGTTTGAAGATGGTAGGTTTATTGTGCTGAGTGTTGAGTATACAGCCTCCACATGGTCAATGCAAGCTCCTTCCCAGCGCGTGACACCTTCGTTACACTCTCGTATAGAGAGCTCCGGGAACGTACTATCGCTGTGAGGAGCATGATGGTCAATGCAAGCTCCTTCCCAGCGCGTGACACCTTCGTTACACTCTCGTATAGAGAGCTCCGGGAACGTACTATCGCTGTGAGGAGCATGATGGTCAATGCAAGCTCCTTCCCAGCGCGTGACACCTTCGTTACACTCTCGTATAGAGAGCTCCGGGAACGTACTATCGCTGTGAGGAGCATGATGGTCAATGCAAGCTCCTTCCCAGCGCGTGACACCTTCGTTACACTCTCGTATAGAGAGCTCCGGGAACGTACTATCGCTGTGAGGAGCATGATGGTCAATGCAAGCTCCTTCCCAGCGCGTGACACCTTCGTTACACTCTCGTATAGAGAGCTCCGGGAACGTACTATCGCTGTGAGGAGCATGATGGTCAATGCAAGCTCCTTCCCAGCGCGTGACACCTTCGTTACACTCTCGTATAGAGAGCTCCGGGAACGTACTATCGCTGGGAAGGAGCTTGTGGTCAATGATCTAAGGGGAGCTCACTCTCACCTCTCTTCAGTCATGCATAACAGAGTTAGTAATGTTTAGGCGGTAGAGCACCTAATCATAGTCATATATAATATAGATAACCCTACTCTTTAGAATGTTGGAACATCATTGGCCCAACATTGTTGTATATTTGTAAGAGTCTGATATCGCAAATAAAATTTATTCTACAATATTAACACGTAATTTCCATTTTTTTTCTTTGTTCGTCGAAAAACTTCTCACAGTTTTGTATCAACTGGTAAAGTGGCCCGCAGAAAGTGGGTTGAAATAAAATTGTGGATCGGTTAGTCAAAATGGGCCTAGTCAAAACGGGCCGTTACAGACGACGTCTGTAGCGACCACAACTTGGATACGACCAGAACTGGGATAAACAGTCCACAATTTCGCAAAACCCCATTTACTGCGGTAATGCTTTCGGTTAGCTCTAAAACACATGGCGATATATATGCGGAATATGATTTAGTTTATATTTTTGGGGGGACCGTACTGAATATGATCTTTTGTATATTTCCATGTCCCATTCCAAATAAATAACGCACATTAAATTCTTCACTATAAATTGGAAACATCTTTAGTTATTATTATTTTTTTGTTATTTTGTACTTGACAAATATTCACACGCCTTTCTGTGCGGCAGTTCACATTTATGCACAAATGTCACAGTGTCTGTGCGATATTTCTTTTAACAAATTATGTTATAATTAGATCAATAATTGAAATCAAGGATGTGTTTCTACATCACATTGTGGTCACAATAGTGTATAGAATGTAATGGAATCGGCCATATTACAAAAGTAAAAGCGTTAACTCGAGGGGTTTCTGAAATATTTCGGATTGTGGCCGTTAAATAAAAGAGCCCCGACACATTATGCATTCCATTTAGATTTTGTTTTGTTTGTAACTGTAAACAATTTTCCGTATTCTGTTTAATTTAACGTGCGGTCTCCTCCAATCCCACGATCTGAATAGAAATGCAAAACATGTATCCTCATTAATGTATTTAATGTAACTGTGCTGAAGGGAATCCTTGTAATTCACACATGAGTAGATGTGAGAAATCATATTTATATAATTTCAAAACAATTATTTCACTTGCCTCTGTATTTAGACAAGCTCTTTCCACTTCTTTTAATTAGTTCGATGGGTTAATTGTATATGGTTTGCCAGAAGATTGAGGCGAAAATTACACAAGATGAAAGTGTTTTATAATTCTTCTTTACAAAGTTACGGGGAAGTAAACAGGTACATCGGACATAAAATATACATTACTCAGAACGAAACGCGGGGTGTTGTATATCAGACATGTTATATACTGTATACATCATTATAAATGAAAGACGCGGGGGAGTATGTATATCGGATATAAACTATACATCACTCAGAACGATAG